AAAGCAAGTCTCACGTTTTCCATCATTCTCCTCGAACTGCTGCTGATTTGGTTGCTGTAATGGTCACGTGACTACTCCACCAGGTCACGTGATGCCTGAGGATGGTTTATCTATCATTTGACCAAAGTAATTCCTTGTCAATAAAATAAAGTGCACTCTTATTCTTAGTGCTGAATTGTATTGAATGCCTTCATTGTGCTAGGGTAGCATGGGTAGCTTCTCACCACTGTGGTCCGGGTTCGAGACCTGGCTCAGACTGGATCTTAAGTGAGTTGAGTTTGTTTGTTGTGTTGTTCTCTCCCTTGCCACGAGGGTTTTCTTCGGGATCTCTAGTTTCTTCCCTCCGTAAAAAGCAATTTGTGAGTTGAGTGTTGTATATTGTAAATATAGAATGTAGTGGTAGTGCGTGTGGAGGGAACCTCACAGAAGAGCCCCGCATGGGGAGTGGTGGTTGTAAAATATAATTTAATTTAATTTATATAAGATAGTTAACAGTAATTTACTTTTTTATCTGTAAACAAAATGAACATGTTTGAGTTTTCATTTGTGTACTCCAACAAAACAATAAAATGGGAAAAGATCTTAGCTTGTGTGCTCTTTTAGCTCGTAATACTAGTCTTTTGAAATACTAGTCTCCTTGAGCAAGCGTTACTTGGCGGGCTATATTTCAGTAGTATCGCACCGACCCAGGAATCTTGTCTCAACAGGTGATAACATAACTTGTTATATAATTACCAATGAAATATCTAATTTTCCCTATTTCTAATTTTCTCTATTTCCCCCCTTACTTCATAACTTAACGTAACGTGACGTAACGTAACATAACATTCATAGCGGAGCTCATGCGCGGGCCTTCGGCTGGTAAGTTTGGTGCTCCGCTCGCGCGGGCCTTCGGCGAAGAAAAACTGTTTCGAGCCTCCTTAAGAAAAAATGGTAAACCATCGAGTTGATTTTTCATGGCTTGGCTGACGTCACTTTCGTCCTTACGTCCGTCCGTCCGTCCAGGGGAGTTGGACACAGCGCGCGAAGCATCACTGAAGGGACAAAAAGTAAAACTCTCTTCATTTGCGTCTGGACGTCGAGAAGTGAAGAGCTCCCGAGATAAAAYTTGATGTAAACAAACAAGGGACACGAAGATTGTCAAAAGTTACGTTTATGGAAACACAGAAAGCTAGTAAGCTATTTTACGATTAGTGTCTTACATACATATTCTCGAATAATTGAATAAAATCTTAAAGGTAAAACTATTAACTATTTGTGCCCTAGTTTTACGAAGTAAAGATGTTCGCACGAAAATGAGTTATCTCAACTCAAATGATAGCTAGGAATTTGCCTATTTTTATTATTTTTTTAAAACAAGAATTGAAAGT